CGTGGTGGCACGCGCCTGTAGTCTCAGCTATTTGGGAGGCTGAGGCGGGAGATCGCTTGAGCCCGAGAGTTCAAGGCTGCAGTGAGCCATGAACGTGGCGCTGTACTCCAGTCTGGATGAGAAAATGAGACTTTGTAGAGTCAGATGGTCCAAATTCCTGTTCCAGCACTGCCCCTCGCTTGCTGTATGACCTTGGACAAGGCAGAGTCTTAGGGGCGAATCCAGTCCCTTCATGGTGCAGCTGGGAGGGGACTTGGCCCAAGTTTTCTATTTTCTTTTCTTTTTTTTTTTTTTTTTTGAGACGGAGTCTCGTTGTCACCCAGACTGGAGTGCAGTGGCTTGATCTTGGCTCACTGCAACCTCCGCCTCACAGGTTCAAGTGATTCTCCTACCTCAGCCTCCCAAGTAGCTGGGATTACAGGCATGCGCCACCACGCCAGGCTAATTTTGTATTTTTAGTAGAGACGGGGTTTCACCATGTTGGCCAGGCTGGTCTCAAACTCCTGACCTCAGGTGATTCGCCTGCCTCGGCCTCCCAAAGTCCTGGGATTACAGGCGTGAGCCACCGCACCAGGCCCTCTATTTTCTTTTCTCTGTTGTTTTTCTACAACATGATGTCTTCAAAGTCTTCTCCACTACAGCGAGACTCAGAATTGTCAGAGAGCAACCTATTGAGATGGGTTTAGGGAAAGAAGGTAATTTTCTGGGGGGCTCATTTCCCTAAAAAGGGAGGGGTTAGATCCAGTTAGTGTAAAACATGTCTAGATTCAGCTACTCCAATATTCTCTGGAATGTGTCAGTCTCTCTCAATTGTGTTGGCTTCATCCATTTTTTTGAGATGAGGCCTCGTTCTGTCCCCCAGACTAGAGTGCAGTGTGCGATCTCAGTTCACTGCAACTGCCACCTCCCAGTTCAAGTGACTTTCCTGTCTCAGTCTTCCGACTAGCTGGGATTACAGGCATGCACCACCATGCCTGGCTAATTTTTTTTTTTTTTTTTTTAGTAGAGACAAGGTTTCATTATGTTGGTCAGGCTGGTCTCAAACTCCTGACCTCGGGTGATCTGCCCACCTTGGCCTCCCAAAGTGCTGGGATTACAGGTGTGAGCTGCCTCACCCAGCCTGTGTTGGCTTCATCCTAAGGCAAGCTGGCCTTCGTGGGGGCAAAGGAGCAGCTACAGGCTCACATTCCTTCCAATCCTGGCAGCCCCACTGAAGAAAGTACCTTTTCTCCATTTTTAGGATAGCTGGGTCTCTTTTACAGTTGCCACCTCCACCTACTGTGCAACAGGCACAGAGGCAAATTCTATACTTGGTGTGCACCAGCAGCATTGGGCAACACTGGGGAAGTTGTTAAAATGTACATTATAAGGCCTCACCCCAGACCTACGGAATCAGGACTGGGGATAAGCCCACCAGGTGGTTCTGAGGCTTGCTCAAGTCTAAGAACCACACTGGGTTATGGAACAGGCTTTAGGGGAATAAATACAAGTCAGCAGTTAGTAGGAAAAGCAGGCTCAGGACCCCACGAAAGACAGGCAGAAGAGGGGCATTCAGAACATAGTGTGGGTGAATACTCTAGGGAGGCACCCACCTCTCTGTTTCTCTCCCTGGTAATAAGGCAAGTATGAGAACACTTAGCAGGGTTGATCAGACTATTACGATGCTAGGCAGTGTGAATTTAGGTACCAATAACTTATGGAAGTTGTCAGGAAAAGCCCAGCACCCAGCACCTGGGGGTCTTTAGAACCCTCGGAAGGTTGTAACTCCTCCCACCAGGGAGAAGCAGCCTCTAGTCCTGGGCGGGGGTCTAAGTCCAAGCAGCCCACAGAGTGAATTCTGGAGTCGCTCTTGCACACCAGATTTCTAGCAAAAGTCCTAAAGTCCCGGGATTGAGTCCAGACCAACTTGAGCCACCTGCCTGTCTTGGAGCCAGTTTGGAGAAGCAATCAACGTGGAACTGATCGAAGCCTGCCCGAATCACTGCGCACCCCTGGCTGCCTGTACCATCTCAAGCAGGTTTCCTAGCTCGGTCCCCTGGGTTACTCCTGAGTAGGTCTCAGGGATGAGAATCTGGATTCCTGGGGTTTCCTGGAACCTTAGACTCCCAAAGCAGAGCTGTCCCGACATCGGCTTCCTGGAGTTCTCACTGGCATCAACAGTCCCCATGATCTTTCCTGGGTTTTAGTCCGTGCTACTTCCAGGCCCTCTAAGCTCATTACTTCTGGACTCAAAAGGGATCCCAGCACCTCTAGCCTAGGAGGCCCCTCCCACCACAGCCAGTTACACAGAGGTGGGCATGGGGCTTGGTGTGTGGGAAAGAACCCTGAAATTGACTCAGGCGGGACGCCCAGACCTGCAGAGTGACCCGGATAAGTCACAACTTCTGTGGGCCTCCGTTTCTCCACATACAAATGCTGGGTTCTGCTCTACAGGACTCTTAAGGTTCTCCCTTAGTTCCAAGATTCTATGACTTCTCTAATTTTCTAATTTCCTAAGTATCCTAAATTCCCTGCTCTCAAAACAGCTCCCTCTCACCACCTGGTGTCTGACACGGCCCTTAAAACTCAGCATAAAACTCCTCACTAATGTTCTATCATTTGAGCCTCAAGACAGCCATCTGAAGTAGGTGTTTCTGTCCCTGCAGGGAACACAGTGAGTCAGCAGCAGACCCAGCGCTCCTCTTTCCAAAGTTCAGGCCACTGCTCCATAAACAGCCACTTTCCACCCGCCATAGGCCTCATCTTCCCATCTCTTTCCTGGAAAAAAATCCAGCCAGGGCTAGGCCTGGATACTGCAGGACCCTTGGCCAATTCCTTCTTTCCCCATGAAGCTTTGATCGAGACAGCCCAGGGGTATCAGCAGTGGGAGTATTGGGGGTGGAGCAGGAGACACATCATCTTTCATTGTGGGTACCCGGTCAGTGTCACACATGTGACAGATTAGCAGACCTGAAATCAGAGGTAAGTCTGAGACCAGATGTGAAAAGAGGGGCTGTGTTTTCTCAAACAAAAGAAGATTCTGGGAACTGACAGGACACCTCTGAACAGGAAAGGAAGAGGCTGGGATGACAGAAACCAGAACTCCTGGAAGGGAGGTGGGGGGCTACATGGGATGTGGCAGGAGGAAGCATTCTGACAGCATTTCCCATATCCAGGAGGAGACACGCTAGAGGGAAGGCAGCATGCGCACACACAGGCAGCAGCTGTGCAGCAGAAGGCATTCAACCTCTCTGGCTGAGATGAACAGCAGCCTCTCCTTTTTCCCACTGTGAAGTCATCGTCCCAGCAGCCACCCCAGTAGAACTGAGGCAGGGCTCTGGGCAGCCCTCTGGGTTACAGTTCCAGAGTTCCTGATCTAGTGTCAGGAAATCTGAAACCAGGCTCCCTTCCTAAACCTGACCTTGCTGGTGTGGAAAGGGCTTGGATTTTGGTCTAAGTCCTACTACGTACAAAAGTCAGCTCACGCTCGTGGGTCCTCTCAGAGCCTCAGACGTGGGAATTCAAGTCTCTATGAGGAATAAATAAGACCTAAGGCCAGGCATGGTGGCTCATGCCTGTAATCCCAGCACTTTGGGAGGCCGAGGTGAGCGGATCACCCGAGGTTAGGAGTTCGAGACCAGCCAGGCCAACATGGTGAAACCCTGTCTGTACTAAAATACAAAAATTAGCCAGGTGTGGTGATAAGCATCTGTAATCCTAGCTACTTGGGAGGCTGAGGCAGGAGAATAGGTTGAACTCGGGAGGCAGAGGTTGCAGTGAGCCGAGATAGTGCCACTGCACTCCAGCCTGGGTGACAAGAGTGAGACTCCATCTCAAAAAAAAAAAAAAAAAAGTTTAGGCACAGTGGCTCACGTCTGTAATCCCAGTACTCTGGGAGGCTGAGGCAGGCGGATCACGAGGTCAGGAGATTGAGATCATCCTGGCTAACATGGTGAAACCCCATCTCTACTAAAAAAAAATACAAAAAAACTTAGCCAGGCATAGTGGCGGGTGCCTGTAGTCCCAGCTACTCAGGAGGCTGAGGCAGGAGAATGGCGTGAATCCGGAAGGCAGAGGTTGCAGTGAGCCAAGATTGTGCCACTGCACTCCAGCCTAGGCAACAGAGCGAGACTCCGTCTCAAAAAAAAACAAAAACAAAAACAAAAAAACTCTAAAAGATGCTTGCACAATGCCTGTCACCCAAGTGTGCAAGATCTCAGCCTATTCTGACCACTCGTGTTGTGATCAGTTGGGAAGTGGGTACCCTGTCATTTGGTACTAATATTAGTTGAAGTACCAAAGTCTGTACACTATTTACAGCAGAGTCACATCACATACACACGTAACTTATGCAACTTAAACTGTGTGCACTCAGGGAAAAAGAAAAGGTAAGAATTGTCAGGCAGGACATACTGATGAGTATCTAAGCCAGAGTGAGCAGTTTTCAGCCCCTCATGCCTTGCTGATCATGGGCCACTGAGTGTGACTTAAGGGTTTTACTTGACATCATATCTTTAGAACTTAATGTGAGTCCCCACTTAGTGCACTTTTAAAAATACTGCAAACAGTTGGGCACAGTGGCTCACCCCCGTAATTCCAACACTTTGGGAGGCTGAGGCAAGCAGATCACTTGAGGTCAGGAGTTCCAAGATCAGCCTGGTCAACACGGTAAAACCCCATCTCTACTAAAAATACAAAAAAAAAAATTAGCTGGGTGTGATCTCAGCTATTCGGGAGGCTGAGGCAGGAGGATCACTTGAAGCCAGGAGGCAAAGGTTGCACTGAGCCAAGATTGCACCACTGCACTCCAGCCTGGGTGACAGAGCGAGACTCCGTCTCAAGAAAAAAAGCAAAAACAAGAATACCCTCTTCACTTTACCCATTCTTTCAAGCCTAAGGACCACAGGCAGTCATTCCACCGCAGACAACCCCATGAATGCTTCATCAGCATGACTATAATCCCCTATTCATGGCATACGTTGTTGGCAGAGGATTGTCTATAAAATAAAGGCTCAAAATTCTTTTAGACACCAAGATTTTTATTTACCCACCTTCCTGCTTTCTTTTAACATTATAGGTCAAATTATTCTCTTTTTGACCCAGGGTTCTGATAGGAACCATCTAGTTATAAAGTGGTGGCAGATTTCACGAAATCTGCCTGCATTCATTCATGTTTTTCTGGCCCCTCTCAACCTCTGGCTGTCACTTCTCTACTCTTTCTCAGCTGCCCCTTACCAGTCTATTCTAACCCCTGTAAAACAGGGACTAAAAGTACTAACCTCATTGTTATGAGGTTTAAGACCCAGCACTAAGCCAGACTCTCAGGAAAATTCAAACAACAGTTCCTCTTTGCCCTTCAATATACCCCCTTCTCATCTGTCGTGGGCTGAGGAACCACTGGATCTGTAAACCAAGCACACAGGTATAAGTCCACAGACCAGGTGAAGGCCTAGATGGCAAAACACATGGGTTTTGTGACTCCACTACTGACTTCGAGGTTAAGGAAGGACTGACTTAGTGCGCTGTTCCAAGACCACTGAGTTCATAGTTCCCTGTGGCTGGGACCTCCATCATGACTGGGGCTTGAGGAGAGGCCTCTGTTCCCGCTGCCACATTTGGAACAGTATGACGGCTACAGCAGAGGCCAAAAACTGAGCGATCGGCCCCAGAGAGTCGATGGGGGACACTGACAAACCAATCACAAAGTTGGTGCCATTAGCTCTTAGGGAGGAGAGGCGGGGCCTGGGCAAGGACAGCAGCTGGAGGGTGAAGCGCAGACCTGGCTCTCAGTAGCGGTAGTGATCCGGCTTGAAGGGGCCATCACGGGACATGCCCAGGTACTGGGCTTGCTTCTCAGTCAGCTTGGTCAACTTCACATTCAGCTTGCCCAGGTGGGCTTCAGCCACTGCCTCATCCAGCTGGGGAGAAACAAAGAAAGACTGGCAATCAGTGCCATGCTCTGGGATCCCTACATGTATCTGGCTGCCAATAGAGGCAGAAGTGTTCTGTTGGGGTATCTGCCATGTGTGGCACTCATGTTAACTCTTTCTATCCTCACATCCAGCCCCAGTTAATGTGTTGTTTTGGCTGCCTAGCCCCCCTCAAAAGGGAACGATGACACACCGTCCCCTCCATGTAGCCCTGACAGGACCATCAATCACATCCCCTTCCTCATTCTTCAACTCAAGCAGCTAACCAAAACACTTCTCTGGAATTGATCTATGCACAGGACATATTTTCCATGATAGGCAGAGACAAGGTGCTCCAGTCCCACTGGGATTCCTAAGGTATCTATCAGTCTCAGCTCACCAGTTGCAAGTCTGTTTTACAAGTGAAATGAAGACAGATCTGAGAGACAGAAAGACAGAGCTATGATGACACTGAATCCTAGGTTTCCAGTGTTTGGATCTGAGAATAAAGTTCTTTTTTTTTTTTGAGACAGAGTCTCATTCGGATGCCCAGGCCGAAAGTGCAGTGGCACAATCTCGGCTCACTGCAACTTCCACATCCCAGGTTCAACTGATTCTCCTGCCTTAGCCTCCCGAGGAGCTGGGATTATAGGCATGCACCACTACGCCTAGCTAATTTTCTGTTTTCAGTAGAGATGGGGTTTCACCATGTTGATCAGGCCGTTCTCGAACTCCTGACCTCAGGTGATCTGCCCGCCTCAGCCTCCCAAAGTGCTGAGATTACAAGCGTGAGCCACCGTGCCCAGCAGATCCGAGAATAAAGTTCTTTTTTGGATTAAACTGGTTCCTTTTTTGATTAAAATACATCTATAAATTCTTTGGTACTTCTTTAAGAGTTAGAGCCTAATCCCCACCACCTCCCCCCACCCCACCGAGTGATTCATTTCTAATGAATAGAAGAAAGCAGAAGTGATGGTGTGTGACTTTGGATACAAGTTCATAGAGACCCTGTGGCTTCGTCCTTCCTCTCCTCTGGATGACTTACTCTGGAGGAAGCCAGATGCCATGTCCTGAGGATGCAAAAACAGCCCTCTGGAGAGGCCCATGCATGAGGAATTGAGACCTCCTGTCAACAGCGATGTGAAGAGGAACTTCCAGACCCGGTCAAACCTTCAGATGATTGCAGCCCTGGCAGAAAATCTGGACTGCAACCTCATGAAAGAGCCTGAGTCAGAAGTAGTCAGCTAAGCTGATCTCAAATTCTTGACCCACAGAAACTGAGATAATAAATATTTATTATTTGAAGCCAGTAAGTCTGGGGGTTAGATTGCTATGCAGCAATAGATAACTGATACACTGGTTTGAACAGTGTTTCTATCACTTGTGACCAAAAGGATTCTAATCCACTGCCATCCTCCTTTTATAAAATGAGGAAATCAAGGTTCAGAAAGGTGAAATGACTTGTCCACAGTCACCAAGCTAGTGAATGACAGAGCTAGGATTTGAACCCAGGTCTATCTGGCTTCAAAGCCCCAAAATGTGTCTCAAGCATCCCAGCTTATGGCCTCCAGAGCAGCTCTGAAGAGATTATGCAGAAACTGAGGACAGAGGCAAGAGTTAAAGACAAGCAAGCCTCTAACTCTCTCATGAGGGAGGCCTCTCCCTACCGCTGAGGGACCCTGTCCTGTCCCATGATGGCATGGCAGCCTTTGACCACAGCTCAGCCCATAGCTTTTACATTCCCAAGTGGTTTCACATCTACTGTTTCATTAGAGCCTCCCAAACACCCTTAAGAAGTAGGATGGGTGGGGTTTATCCTTGTATCTTCAGATGAAGCAACAAGCCTGCAGGTGATATGCTCAGTTGAGAGGCAGACAACATTAGGACCAGGGCCCAGCCTAGAACTGAGTCCACATCAGTTCCAGAGGTAGAACGACTGCCTCCAACCCCCATAGTACACATTGAAATCAACCTTCTGCTCGGCCTGGACTAGCCCAGAACTTTTCCTTCTCCCAGCACCCTGAACCAGAAGGTATGTGTCATGTCATAAGGTCAACACCTTGGACAGACAGAGCTAGGTTCTATTCCTGGCCCAATACTTAACATCTGTGAGAGCAAGTCAATCTCTACACCTTACTTTCCCCATTCACAGGATGGATCACTCATCTCTCAAGGCTGTTACGAAGATCAGTGCTACTCAGAGTCATTAGTGCAAGTAGGTGACTTAATAAATGGTGGCTGCCTTCTCTGTCATTTGTTGGCCAAGGTACCTAGTCCCTTGCCTACATACAGCATGTGAGGCATGATGCCAAGAGTGTCCTGTCCCCAAGCCACATGTTAGCAATGATGAAGAAAAGTGGTAAGCACAGGGCCAGGTGCTGAGGCAGGAGGTGAGAGCTTTGCCTTTCTTACTTCCAACCCTGGCCTCATTTCAAAGGCCTGACCAATTCCTCACCAAACTCACAGCCATATTTCTCCCAGGTGGGATCAGATAGGGATCAAGTGAGATCTTTTTTTTTTTTTTTTTTTTTCTCAGCGAGTCTCGCCTCTGTCGCATAGGGTGGAGTGCAGTGGCCAGATCTCAGCCTCACTGCAAGCTCCGCCTCCCGGGTTACACACCATTCTCCTGCTCAGCCTCCGAGTAGCTGGGACTACAGGCGCCTGCCACCTCGCCGGCTGTTTTTTTTTTGTATTTTTTTAGTAGAGACGGGGTTTCACCGTGTTAGGCCAGGATGGTCTCGATCCTCTGACCTCGGTGATCCGCCGTCTCGGCCTCCCAAAAGTGCTGGGATTACAGGCTTGAGCACCCGCGCCGGCCCAAGTGAGAATTTTCAACCCAAACCAGTTGCACAGAACAAGGTATGCCTTGGAGGTCCTTGTGGGTAAAAAGTTTGGTCCAGCAAGACATTGCTCCAGGGGAGATTAGTTGTTGGCTGGCCCTGGAGGCAGATGCCCCAGGCTCTTCCCTGCATGCTTCCTCAGTTGACAGAACCGTCTTTACAAAGGAGGAAGGGGTATATAGACCCATCACAGCTTCTCAGCAGCCAAAGGCTGGGAAGAGCAAGAGCTACTCTTACCGTTAGCTCATACAAGAGACCGAGGTCGGACAGGGTAAGGGACAAAGCAAAGTTCCACCTGTAATACTGCCAAGAAGAGCCAGGACTAAACATCTGTCCTGATCCAGGGAAGGGAAGACTGCATGGGGTGTTAGGTGACACTGGATTTCATGTCAGAGGACTTCATCATCATGGTTACGCAGAACACAGAGCCATAGTGAGAATGCCATGGTTTAAGGGATGTATCGTTTTTTTTTTTTTTGAGACACGGTCTCACTCTGTCGCCAGGCTGGAGTGCAGTGGCACGATCTTGTCTCACTGCAAACTCACCTCCTGGGTTCAAACGATTCTCGTTGCTCAGTCCCCCGAATAGCTGGGATTACAGGCGTGCACCACCACGCCAGGCTCATTTTTTTTTTTTTTAATAGAGACATCGTTTCACCATGTTGGCCAGGCCAGTTTCCAACTCCTGACCTCAAATGATCTGCCCACCTCGGCCTCCCAAAGTGCTGGGATTACAGGTGTGAGCCACCGCGCCCAGCCAGGGATGTATCATCTTATTACAAGGCCACAGACATGCAGCCTACAGACTGCACTCAGTTTATACACACATCCAAGTTAACCCGCCCAGTTATTTTTTAAATTATAATGAGGCCAGGTGCAGTGGCTGAGGTGGGTGGATTACTTGAAGTCAGGAGTTCAAGACCAGCCTGGCCAATATGGCAAAACCCCATCTCTAATAAAAATACAAAAAAATTAGCCAGGTGTGGTAGCATGTGCCTATAATCCTAGCTACGAGAGGCTGAGGTGGGAGGATTGCTTGAACCTGGCAGGTGGAGGTTGCAGTAAGCCAAGATCACGTCACTGCACTCTAGCCTGGGCAACAGAGTGAGACTCTATCTCAAAAAAATAAAAATAAAATTATAATGAGTTGCCTGTATTTGAAAATCATTTCATATAGAGATCTTGGTATCTCTGGCTCTCCTGAAAGGTCAAAAGCCCGGATCAGATGGACCTGGGTTCCTTGGTGGCAACCAGCCCTTTACCCCTTCAGCTCTTCCAGTCCTTGTTCAGCCAGCGTCACTCATTCACCTGCCCAGTCCCTGTGGGTGTGTGGATTCATGACCCTGATCTCAGGAAATCCTCACAATCCTGAAGGGGGGTGCTATTACCTTCATTTCACAGATGAGAAAACGAAGACACAGAGAAATGAAAGAATTTGCCTAGATTACACAGCCTCTAAGTGGTGGGGCTAAGATTCAAACTGGGGTGTGTCCCGCTCCAAGGCCCAGGCTCTTCTCACCACCTGCTCCTGCTGCTCTGCTGTGCTCCAGGGAGTCACTCCCCACTGTGGGCCTCAATTTCTTCTGTCAATGGGGAGAATGACTTCTGCACTGTAGAGGACCCCATGAGGGCCTCTAAGAGGGCAGACAGACAAGCACTTTATAAACTCTGGCAAGCCCTGTGTGGGGATCCCGGGATTAGACACGTGACCCTTGGTTTCAGATAGAAGAACAAACCCACCTTCTTGGGCAGGAAGTGAACCCCAACGGGGTACTTGTCTGGATGGGTCCACAGCTCGATCTGTGCCATCACCTGGTTGGTGAAGGAGTTACTCATCACGAAGCTGGGGTGGCCCATGGCACAACCCAGGTTGACCAGCCGACCCTCAGCCAGCAGGATGATGCGGCGCCCATTCTTCAGCCGGTACCGATCCACCTACACACAGGCAGGGCAACAGTGAGGGCACGCAGAGCCCCGCTCCCACGGCCCACCCCTGCCACAGCCCACCCTCTGGTCTGGCAGGCCTCCCTGCCTCCAACAGTGCCCATGAGGCGTTCCCGAACTGCCCCAAAACGACCTCCAGCACATGGCCTGGCACAAAAATATTAGCCGATATTTATGAAGAAATGCTAAGCTGCAGACCGCACAGTTCTGCTGTGAGAACTTCATATGCTCACACTTGCTTGGCGCATACAAGGCACTCAGTAAGCAGCTGCTAATGTTATTGTTATGATCACTGTCATGTGCCCTGTCCTAAGTCCTTTACAGGTAACTACCACATTTCACCCCAGAAACAACCCTGCAATTTCAGTACTGCTGTCATCCCCATTTCAGATTTAGAAACTGAAGTTTACAAGGGTTAGGTCACTTGTCCAGAGCCACACACTAAGAGGAGGCTGCAATTTGAGTCTGGATGGTCTGAGGACAGATCCCATGTTCTCAATAACCATGAAATAGTTTTGAATGCAGCTTACTAAAAGCTGAATGCCATGGCACTCACATCGGAATCACCTCAGAAGCTTTAAAAAATGAGGATACCCTGGCCTCATTCCCAGAGACTCCTATTCGTGTGGCCCATAGTGTGGCTCCCAGGTGACTGCCAAGGTTGAGAACTCCTGGTTTTGTGAGTGAACGTGACATGGAAATCCCCAGCCTCAGCGCCCCAGTCCTCTGTCTGTCCCAGCTGTCTGAACACACAAACTTGCTTTTTCCCCACTCTCAGCTCTTCCCTTGCCATCCCTCCACCCTCAGGTGGCCTCTCAAACATTTCCCCAAAGCCCAGGTTTCCCAGCTGCTCCAGAGGCCTAGTGCTGGTCCAAGGAAAGGTCTCTGATGCCCATCAAGCATTGATGGATGCTTCAATAAGCACTCACTGATACCCATCTAAGTCCCTTGCAGGGACACATCAACCTGGACTCTACACTCCTGGTACAACAGTGGGGTCAGAGACCAAAGCCAGTGATGGATGCTGCACTAGGGGTCTGTACTAAGAGTGTGGGCACTGCCTCTGCCTGAGGAGCTGGCCAGGAAGGGGGTCTCTTTTTTATAATTTTTTTTTTTTTTTTCTGAGTGGGTCTTCACTCTGTCATCCAGGCTGGAGTACAGTGGCATGGATCTCAGCTCACTGCAACCTCTACCTCCTGGGTTCAAGTGATTCTCCTGCCTCAGCCTCCAGACTAGCTGGGACTACAGGCATGACCCACCATGCCCACATAATTGTTTTGTATTTTAGTAGAGACAGGGTTTGACCATGTTGGCCAGGCTGGTCTCAAAACTCCTGACCTCAAGTGATCCGCCTGCCTCGGCCTCCCAAAGTGCCTGGAATTACAGGCGTGAACCACCGCACCTGGCCGGAAAGGGGTCTCCTGAGCTGGGCTGAGAAGATGAACAAGGAGAAGGGCATCTGTGCTCTGTTCCAAAACAACAGAGCTGTCTGGGACAGATGAGCCAGAAGTAAGGAGCTGCAGTGGGGTATTCAGGGATGGTCAAATACGGCCTGAGTACAGAGGCCCTTGGAGGATGGACTAAGAGATAAGGTTGGGCAGAAGGCTGGCAAGACTGTCAAGGATGTCGAGGGTGGCATAGATCCCAGCTTTGGAGGGCAGCTTGGCAGAAAGGTGCCCATCACCCCAGTGTAGCAGGTTCACCTGTGATGCCTTTGCAGAAGGAGGTCTGGCTGGCTGTCAGGGGTGTGGCTGCACACCAGAAAGCATGCCCTGGCACCCCCACACTGTGATGAGTGGCCAAGGCCTT